GTCAGCAGGGTGCCCTACCAGAATGTACAGACCTAAACAGTCTTATCTTTGCATATTTATGAAGATCTTTGGATGGATGGTATCTGCTAAACTTTTTCCAGACCAAATAAATGACTTTTTACTGGGACAAGGACTCTTCATTAATTTCCTAAATAAAAATATCTTGCAGGTTTTAAGTAAGAATCACACGTATTAAAAAGTTGAACTACAAGATGTTCTTCTATGGTGTCATTCTCTTAAAATAGAACCCTCCTAAAATCTCCTAAAAATAAGTCTGCATAGTTTCATTTCATTTTCTAAGAAGGAGATAAACATATCAAAACAAACACTTAGCTTCTTTTTTAAAGACTCTCTCTGCTACAGGGCCCACAGATCAAAGTTTAAAAGGGCCAATTTCTTCACTTCAGAGGTCGATGACACAGCTTTGAAAAAGAGGAAAAACAGTCCCCCAGTCCCCCTAGTGTGCTGAGGCTGTAGGAAGAGGAAGTGTATTCGTTGAGAATCCCTGACGAAGACAGTCCTGCCAAAGGAAGTTACAAAACAGCATTTTGGTAACATGGGCCAAGCAGAAGACAGATTCCTTACACATGACTGTAACTGGCCCTTTGGTGAATTACTCCAAAAGGTGACTGAGGGAAGAATTACAAGCCAACATGGAATTATCACAACTTTGTCATTTTGGAATTAAAAAAAAAATATTTTTTAAATATAAAAGTTGCAGTTAAAATGACATTTTCTTAACACAGTGTGTTGGGAAGGAACTGCATGCATTAATCTAAAGAACCAGAACAGTAAGAACATCAACAAGCACTGCATGGCAGGTGGGTCCTCATCTTTTCACTCTGGGAAGAAGCTGTAAGAGTACACATTGTCACACGAAAGAAGACTAGTCTCTTGCAGAATTAACCTCCACAGCAGCAGCAGAAATCGTCACACACACAAGATCCTCCATTTGTGAAATTTTGAGAACCAGCACAGAAACTCACGGCTACTGGATACAATCATGCCCTAACCCCGTGGGAAATGCAGGTGTGTGGGTGTGAGTAGGTGAATAAGCAATAAATAGACCTTAACAGGTAAACCCTGGAGTCCTAGAGGTCTGCCCCCCTCCCCAGGAGGAACAGAGAGAGCAAACCAGTTTCATTATGGGTGGTGCAGTACAAGTAAACTTAATCCGAATTAAAGGAAATGTAACCTTTTCCCCTCGTGACCACATCTGATTATTCATTTCTACTTATTGCCTGAGGTAAGGGAGCCTGTGAGATAGCCATCACCTTTCTGTCTGGCACAATATGCATCTTTCAAACCTAAGTTAACCAGGAACTTCCTCCTTTTGTTAAAATGCTATCTTTTCTGCCACCTTCATCACTTCATAATTCCTAAGTACCCATACTGATCAACACTGGACGGCTATACAAATATGAGAAACTCACTCAGCCTCCATCAATATTCATCTGTTTCTGATGCTAAAATAATAACCAAGACATCTTTAGACTGAGAGGCAAATATGCTTTTCAGGAAAGCATCTTTTACTTGTGTAAGACTACTTGTTACTTAGTAAGTGACTTTTAAAGAATAGATCCTCGATTTAAAGAGGAAAATAGTGTGATAAAGAACAAATCTCCAGAACTGCGACTATTAATTACCTGTGTACTAACTAGCTGTGTGATCTTAGAGAAGTCCTTAACTTGAAGAATCAGGTTCTTCACCTATGAGGGAGTTGAACAATCTGCAAACCTCATCCCGGCTGTATATTAGAATAACCTGAGAAACTTAAACAAAAACAAACAAACAAAAATAATGCTAAGCCCCAGACCAGCCCAATTAAAACCGATTCTCTGGGTATTGGCTTTTTTTTTTTAAGCTCCCAGGTGATTCTAATATGCAACCAGGGCTTCAAATCACTAGTCCCAGTTCTGATCTCCAATGCCTTCTTTTCTAATCCTTTCATTCTCTGATCTTAGGGTGAGAATTCTGGTGACAGAATCTCAGAATGCAACAGGCCAAAAAAGCCACAAAAAAAGCAAGGCCTAAGCCCTGCATACTGTGCCTATGTGCACACAGGACTAGGAGAGGTTAACCTGAATTCTAGACATTTTTAGAAGTTAAAAACCCTAATGCGTAACTAAGAATGAAAGCAGTGTGGTTTAAGTGCACATGCCTGCTCTCAAAATGACTAATCGTGATAGGAATCAACTCCTGAAACTTGGACGCAGGGAAATGGGTCACAATTAGCTCCTGACCTCTCCCTCTTCCCTCTTCTACCACCCCCACTGAACCACAAGCACAAAAAAAAGGCTGGCTATTAGTCATAATCAGAATATGAAACCAGCCCCAGTTTCAAAGGGCTTTCTCCATCATCAAAGATTTGGAAGTTCCTGCATGGGTGCATCTTTTGATGAAAGTCATCTTACAAAAAATCTTTAAAGGATAGCCCCACAAGTTGTCACGTGATACTCAGAACTAGTATAAAATCTTAAAAATAATTTTACTTACCTTAAACATAAAAACATTTTACTTTATGCCCTTTATTAAACATATTAAGGCTCGAGTTTCAATTTATATTTCACAAATGTTAGAGATAAGATAGAAACTAATTTAACACTGTGCATTGAATATACTCCAACCAAAAGAGAGAGAGAGAGAGAGAGAGAGAGAGAAATGAGATAGCATGAGACCAAAAAAAGGTTAAGGACATAAAACCATAAAGTTTATGACTAGGCCCCAAATCTCTATTATTAAGTCCTGCAAGCTACGTGAAAATATAATTAACTGAATCACAATTCATGGCTACTTTTGGTAATACTACTTTCTCACCTAGATCTTTAAAAAAAAAAAAATCAAAACTGTTACCATCTTTAACTGTAAGCACAATAGCAAGAAATATTATTTGTGGAATTAAACTACTTTTGTAAACTTGAAAGTCATAGGAAATGTGAAAACCCTTCCAACGCTAACTTTTTAGCTTTAACTAGCTAACTTTTAACTAGCAGATCCTCTGCACTAAGTTCAAAATATACAGGACTCACTGCAAGTGTGAGAAATTTGAAAAATATTCCAAACCCCTATATCCATTTTCTTAGATCTTGAAACCCACCCCTTCCTGACACTATACACTGAGATTAACCCTTGCTATTCACTTGGAAATTCAGTTTTAAAAGCTATCACAGTAACACTGCTTTGAAATGGAACTCACTCCTATGCTTTCTGTAAATGGCCCTCGGATCACACAGCTGGCATTCTTTTGCAAAGCTTTAAAATTAAATCAAATGTAAGATTCATAATGTCAGCATTCATTAAAGGAAATGAGACAGATGTGGAATAATTTCAAAGCACACATTTTGCTTTTAAGGTATCTCAGCAAGGGGCGCCAGGGTCGCTCAGTTAAGCATCTGACTCTTGATTTCGGCTCAGGTCATGATCTCAGTTTCCTGAGTTCGAGCCCTGAGCTGGCCTCTGCACTCACAGCGTGGAGACTGCTTGGGATTCTCTCTCTGTCCCTCCCTCACGCTGTCTGTCTCTCTCAGGATTAATAAACTTAAAAAAAAAAAAAAAGAAAAAAAAATCTCAACAAGTCCTTTTCTAGCCATAAGAAACTAAAAAAAAAAGGTACTTTGCAAGTTTTTTTTTAAAGCAAATTAAAACTCAACACACTAAGTTCTTTTTTCTTTAAAACACACTACATTCTTCAATTTTTACACAAATTCCTCTCCAGGGCTCCAGTTCTCCACCAAGATTACACTGTTCTTGCTGTACACACATACTGGAATCCAGGAAGATACAGTGAAGGACTGAGGAAGGAAGCAACCACCTCTTTAATTAAAAAAAAAAAAAGCTTAACTTGCAAATAGAAGCAACTGGTAAGTGATATGTATCTCCACATGTACCTCTTTTGCCTGGTAATGACACATTCATATCTTGGGGTAGAGGCCAGGAGAATGAGGTGCCAGGAAGAGCAAAGCAGCTGGGTATCAGCAGCCCAGCAGGGGCACAGGAGTTAATCTGTTTAGATGCCCAACTGCAGGAAGTCATTACATCATAGGCCTTTCCACACCTCTCTCCCTACCATGTTCCCAGTGCCCCAAGAGGCTGAAAAGGAACAGTAGAGAGCCTCCCTTCTAGTTCACTTATAGGTAGAAGCCATTATGGCCCAGTCCTGCCACTACATCTCCCTCCCCTAGGCCAGGGAAGGCTAGGTGAAGCTCCAGGCCCCAGTCCTCCACACCTGGACCTGGCCTCAAATAGCGCCAGAATCCAGGCCTCAATAGAAGCAGCAGGTGTGGCTAGTCCGCCTTAAGGTAGAAGGGCTGGCCCATTCCAGGACCCAGAACATCTCAAGTTTGGAGGCTGGTTTACTGGGAAAACCTCTCTAATAAAGATGTCAACACAGACAAGGAAAGACAAGCAACCAGGAAAAGGTTTACAACCACTGCTTTTTCTAATGGGACCGATATGCCTGTGGGAATTAACATCCACACGCTAGAAACTTCGACGTAAGGGTGCTCATCCAGCTAGTAACAACGACCATGCTCCTGTGACCGACTGGGAACCACAAATCCAACCGCTTCTCCGGGCACCAAGTCCCAAACACTCCCCCACATGCTCTCACTCCACCCGCAGCGCCCTCCCCGCACCCCCACTACGGTGATTTCTACTTCGAAGTTAGCCGCAGACCTACCTCCTCCGCGCAGTCCGGGGAATCCGTCAAACGCACTCCTGTCCGCCAGTCCTTCCCTCGCCGGCATCCCTTGCCCCCTCTCCTCACCTGGCCATGCCCGAGGCTTCCCCGGAAGCCTCATTTCCCCAACCCCCCTCCGCGGCCGACCCCAGGTTCCCCTCCTCTGGGGGTCACACAGATCCCCCGAAACCTCACAGCGGAGGCTCTCGCTACCAACCCCTCTCCCCAGCGCCCGCAGGCGCGCTCCGATGAATCGAAGGCGCGTCTCGCACTGCGCAGGAGGCCCGGCGGCTCCGGCCGCCCGCCCGAGGTGGGTACGCACCTTCCACCCGGCCGAGCTGTTGCTATCGCCCTTATCCTTGAAGTAGGGCACGCAGCGCACCATCCACTCGTAGATCTGGGACAGAGTGAGCCGTTTGTCCGGGGAGCTCTCGATGGCGCGAGTGATCAGGTCGGCGTAGGATAGGTTTCCCCAGGCGTTCCGCCGCGACGAGCATTTCCTCGGCTGCCCGGAGCCCCCAGCCGCCCCCGGCTGCGGCGGTGGCAGTGGCTGCTGAGGCTGCAGCGGCGTCTGCGTCCCCCCGCTCAGCGCGCCCGCCGCGAGGGCTGGCCCGGACCCGGAGTCCTGCCCTCCAGGAGCCAGCAGCCGGGCCGAGTCTTCAAGGAGCAGCCCGGAGCCCAGCGTGCCGCTCCCGCCGCCGCCGATCGCCATGGCCGAGCTGGCCCTACCGCTACCGTCCTCGTCGTCTTCATCGTCCTCCTCTTCGGGGATCATGGAATCGGCGGCCGTCTCCCCTGAGGGCTTGGCCGGGCTCCCCTGGAGCTCTGGCCTCTGCAGGGGCCACGTACAGGAGCGCGGCCGGCTCTGGGGCTCGAACTCCGGGTCCAGCTCCACTTCGAGCGGAGAGAGCGGGGCCGGGGAGGCCGGTGCCTCTGCCATCTTCGCCGCCCGCCCGCCCGCCCGCCCGCGGCTCGGGCTCTCGCGCTCTCCTCTAGCGCCGGGGCGGGGTGCGGCGGGGGAGGGACGGGGGCGCCGCGAAGGCTCGGGCTCCCGGGAGCCGCTGCCGCTACTGCCGCCGCCTGGGGAAGCACGAGAGGAGAGAGAAGGAGAGTTCGTTATCCCGGGCTGGAGCCCGGTCCTCGGCGAGTCCTACCGCCGCTTCCCGGCCGCACGGCGCCCGCCTCCTAGAAGCAGGCAGACCTGGAGACGTGCGTCCCGCGAACCTGGCGCAGCAGACACCGCCCCCTGGCCAGGCCTCGGGGGAGACCGGAGCGAATCGACGGGCTCGCACGGGGCAGCCCCCTCCCCCCGCCGCCGCGGCCGCCAGATCTGCAGGTCCCTCCTGGGCTAGGTGGCTGGGCGGGGAAGAAGGGGGAGGGGCGGGGGCGGGGGAGGGGCGCGGGCCGCGCCTTTAAAGCGGGCAGCGGCCGGAGCTGGCGCTGCCGAGCGGCTGTGGGAGCCCGGGCGGGCGTGCGTTTGTTTATGTTTCGTTCGGGCCCGCTCAAGTGCTTCCCGCGGCGCCGCAGCCAAAGTCTGTGGCGTCTTCCGCTCTTCTCCTCCTCGCCCTGGCCCTGCCGCCTCCGCGCCCCCTTGTACCCCTTCTCCTGGCCGAGGGGCCCGAGCCCGGGAACGGCACGGGCAGCCACCTTCTCCTCTCTTGGCCCCGCGGGCCGGGAAGGCGAACATGAGTCCGAGCGCGGACCGGCCCTTGACACTTCCAGAAAAAGGACCAGACGGGAAGCAGGGGGGCAAGCAGCTCGGCGGGTGTTTGCAAAGGGTCGAGCCAAGCAGGAACGACCACTTTGGGTTTTTGTGTGGTTTATTTGCTCGCGGACGTTGTACCCTCCACCCCCTTCCCTGTAAAGAACGCGGGGAGGGGACAAGTCGGAACATAAATCTTCCAACAGGTCAGGAAGCGCCAAGTCTCCCGGGCTGCCAGAAAACCCGGACCAGCACGTTCATCACCTCCTTGCTCCCGCTGCTGCCATCTTGACAGTTTTCCCCCCTTCACTCAAGTCCTTTAAAAACACTAGCGGGAGGGAAAGGGGGCGCGCACACCGAGTCACGGGGAGGGAAAAGGGAAGCGCCTGGCCCAGCTCGGAAGCAGATCCGGAGTCACCGGGAAGGCGGCCGCCCCGCTGCAAAGCTCCGGCGCCTACCTCAGTTCCTTCCCTTCAGGGACGAGTGGGGAGGACGCACAATCCCGCGCGGGCCCGGGGCACGGCGAGGAGGGGGCGCGCAACCTCGGCGAAGGAGAGGCGCTCCGGCTGCCGCCGCAGCCCGCCTGAGGAAACGCCTGTCAGCCTGCGCGCCGCCGCCTTCCACATTCCTCCTCCTCCTCCCTTACACGAGCAGGGCGGCCGCGGCAGCAGCACAAAGTTATAGACACACGCAGGGTGCCTCAACCTAAGCTGACGGCGGGCGGGTCCCCGCCCAAGGGGAGGGCTGGGCGGCGGGCCCGGGTGTGCTGTGTGCGTGCGTGTGTGTGCGTGTGTGTATATGTGTGCTCGCGCGCGCGCCTGCGCGACCCGGCTCCGCGGGACTGCGGGCGTGGGTGTCGGGGCGCGCGCCGCGGGCCGGGACTAGGCGGGCTCCCGCAGCCTTCCTCGCTGGGCTCCTCCTCCCGAGAGTCTCAACGACAACAAAGCGCGGCGCCAGCCTAGGAGAAGAAGTAGGGGGAGAGCAGAGCCCCGAACGCTCCATGAGCGCAGTCGCGCGGCCTCTCAGACTCCGGGCAGGGCGCCTGGTACTGAGGGTCCCCGGCGGGCGCGTCCGCCCGTCAGGCTCTGGGCCCGCCCTGGTGTCCGGTTCCCGGTTAGAATCGGACACCAGGTAACACCCGAGATAAGATGCTGACCGCAGATCGCAGAGGTTACCTCGGCGTGGAAATACTGACAAGAGAAGATGTTGGTGCCATACAAGACTTCGATAAACTGACGCCCTCAGATTTGATCAGGCACCAAAAGGTTTGCAGCTGAGTTTCTTACCTAGGACGCTCGACTTGTCGTGGATTTCTTGGCAAATGAGGGGAGAAGTGTAACTAACTCGGGAGAAATGCAAATTTTCCCCCATTCCTAAACGCAAGGGCAGATTTTGAACAATTATGAATGGGAACTAAATTGCTTCTAATTTGTAAATGACTCCAGAACAGCTAATTGTGCATTTTTAAGTTTTGGGTTTTTTTATTTAAAGCTACTTCTTTAGGTTTGGGAAAACATCTTCACAAGTCCTTATCCTATTATCAGTGCCTAAATTGTTCATTTGTACACTAACAATGCACTACATGCGATACGCACACCAAAGCTCTATTCACTTTGGTTCATAAATATCTTCTTTCCCCTTTTTTCTTAAATCTTTGTCAGTCACTGGAGACCTCAGAGTCCAGAGCTCGCTCCTCAACAACCCAATACACAAAAAAGGTCCAACCCAGGGTACTCAGGAGTCCGCCCACCCAGCCAATTCCAGACTCCGGGCTTTGCGCAGGGCCCGTCACTCAAGTGACGCGCGGCCCCGCCCCTGCACCAAGCTAGTTCGACGCGTACAAACAGATGATGTCATTGTATCCACACGCGCGTGACCCGGGAGCTCTGCGCCGCGTCCCCATTCGCTGCACCGCCTACTCGTCAAACCACGCCGCGCGCTGACTGGCCGCGGGCACCAGTCTCCAGGCCCCAGACACCCCTCTCCGCCCCCCGCCCCCGCCCCCCAGCAAATAATAAACAATCGAGTAAAATTCTAAGGAAGAAAGGAGGGGACAGAGAGGAGAGGAGAGAAAGAGAGGGCGAACCTGAAGCCAACCTTTCGCGCGCTGAGGGAGAGTTCAGAGGCGGGGGACTTGAGAGGACAGAGGAGGGAAGAAGGGGAGCAGACCTGGGGCGATGGGTCCTGCTGCGAGGTGGTGGTGTAGGGAGAGGAAACTTGGAGAGCACCCTGCGGGGCGCGCCTGCCAAAGTGGAGGGACACTAGGGCCCTGGAGCTGCCGGGCTTGGGGCTTCTGGACGGTGCGCGGCAGTCCGAGGGGGTGGAGAGTGAGACACGCCGGAGCGGCGCGGGCGGAGCCGGCAGACACGTGCGGGAGGAGGGCGGGCGCGCGCCGAACTGGCTCACCCGGGGCGCGCGGCAGCAGTAGCCGCGCGCGCTTGTTTACCAGCGCACGTGGGTGTTATTTTTAAATGGAATGTTGTGCTGGCCGCGCAGCGGAGTGGCGGGCGCGTGGGGCAGCCCGCGCTGGCTGGGGGACGCTGCAGACCCGGGCCACGACCTCTCCGGGCTCCGCTCATGGGCCAGGCAGACTGTCTCCGCTGCAGGATTCCAGCGCAGCGGCTGGCTGGGGCCGGTGAGCCTGATGGCGACTTTCGCGCGCTGCCCAAGCCCCTGCGGAGACGACGAGTTCCCGCCACCAAACGCTGCCTTCTTTAAGCCCGGTTTCGGCTCTTTCAATCACATTTCGGGAACAAAGCCGGCGGGGCTCCGCGGCCACAGGTTCCGGAGCCGATTTCACATGCTCACATACTCCCTGGCACACTACACCCTGGCCGCGAGGTGGATTTATCACCTTGCGTAGTTTGTGACCTCGCTGTCTTGCTCAGAATGTCCCCCGAACGCGCCCGTCACTTGGGCAGACAGGTCTGGCACGTACAAATGCGCTTTTGCTACCTCGGCTTCTCTTTGGAAGGGAACTCTGGGAAGGGGGGCTCTGACTGCTTCCTGGTGGTGTTCCTGCGCTTGCTGCTCCACTTTTCTCATCGTGGGCCTGTCCTGAGAGCCCTGAGTTTGCGTTTGGTTTATAGCCTGGCAATGTGGACGCTGACATAGGACAACTCTCAACTGAAAGTGTCCCTGGCGGGTAAGGGGGCGGATTGGGACTTCAAAGATCACATGGGGGGGGCGGGGGGCTGTGGGGCATGAAACCAGGAGTCGTGTTCAGCATCAGCGTGTTCAGCTTTTTGGGAGGAACCCAGAAGCCAGATCACCCATTGCTTTGCACCGTGATAGAGCATAGAATACAAAGAACTTTGAGTTCCTTCTTAATACTTATAGCACACTGTTAAAAAAAAAAAAAAAAAAAGTTCACACTCTGAATCTAAGCAAACTTTTGTCCTTAAAGTACAAACATGCAGACTTAGAATATGTACTGGCTGGGCTCTCAGGTTATTAGATTTTCACTAAAAATCTGTTGAGTGTCCATTTACAGAATGCCTATCCCAAGGGCATTCAAAACCTGGAAGCATTAAAGATTCAGTAGATTAATTTAGCTTTTTGTGACCCCCTTGGTGAGGAATGGGGGTTGGGGACATGATATAGCTATGTCTCTCAAAAAGCTTACAGCCTTGAGGAGACAAGACATTAAAAAGTTCAGTATTTCGAGAGTTGAAAAGCAGTGCAAGACAAACACAAGAGGTCATGCATAGTGTTGGGTAAGTTTCCAATGAGTTGAGGATCAAAACTTCAAATGGAAATAAAATAACAACAACAAAAACTTCAAATGGCAGTGATCAGAAACATTGAGCTTGGTAAATGTGCATCTTACTCAGAAAATTTACCCTTGTAATTTGTCCCTATGGGCAAACCTTGGAAAATCTCAGTGATTGTTAACATTTTAGCGTGAAATTGCTTTGACCTTTGCTTTCCCCACAAAGCCTCCATGCGCCTTCATTTCTTACCCGCAACTTTTTCTCCCTACACTTTTTAGTACATACAATCCCAAATTTAGAATTGTTCAATTTAGCGTTTTTCAACTTTACAGTGCTGTGCAAGCGATTCACATTCGGTAGAAACCCTACTTCAAATTTTGAATGTTAATCTTTTGCACCCCCCGCCATGTGCTGTAGATCATTTCTTGTGATGCTGGACAGCAGCAGTGAGCCACAGTACCCAGCCAGCCACCTGATCATTGGCCTTAACAACCAATATACTTAGAACCATTCTATACCTATATGGTCATTGTGTTTTTCACTGTCAGCATTCAATAAATTACATGAGATAGTCAACATTTTATTATAAAGTAGGATTTGTGTTAGATGATTTTGTCCAACTGTAGATTATTAATCTAAGTGTTCTGAGGGGTGCCTGGGTGGCTCAGTCGGTTAAACATCTGCCTTTGGCTCAGGTCATGATCTTGCGGTTCGCGGGTTCCAGCCCCGCCTCGGGCTCTGTGCTGACAGCTCAGAGCCTGGATCCCACTTCGTATTCTGTGTCTTCCTCTCTCTTTGTTCCTCCCCCACTCACACTCTGTCTTGCTGTCTCTCTCTCAAAAATAAATAAACAACAACAAAAAAAAAATACATACAAGTGTTCCGAGCATAAGGTAGGCAAGGCTAAGTTATGATGTTCGATAGGTTAGGTACATTAAATGCATTTTCAACCTACACTGGGTATTTTCAGGACATAACCATATCATAAGTCAAGGAAGATCTGTATAGGAAAGCTGAGTAAGTTATGGTTGTTGATCGAGAAGGAATGCCAGCCTTAACTTTGTGGTAGAATTTTTGGTCAAAACTTTCCCTACGTCCTCCGTTTTTCTCCCTCCTCTCCCTTTGGCGAGGGACAGGGTGGGGGGAGGGGCAGAGAGAGAGGGAGACACAGAATCCCAAGCAGGCTCCAGGCTCCAAGCTGTCAGTGCAGAGCCTGACACAGGGCTCAAACTCATGGACTGCAAGATCATAACCTGAGCCAACATTGGATGACTAAACCAAATGAGCCACCTGGGCGCCCCAAAACTTTCCCCACTTCTTAACTCACTTCTTGTTTACTTTTATAAATGATCTGAGGTCGTAATCGTTCACTCCATTGTAAATTCAGTCACTGGAGGAACAAGACTTTACAAAACTTTTTACCCGAATAAGCTAAGTAAATTCACCATTTCCAACATCTAACTGTGAGGCAATTGGTAGTAGATGCCAGAGCTCTGCCTCTGAGGGGGCCACCACTCAGCACCTGGGTCCTTACCGATGCTCCTCACACCTAAGTCAGCTGCACACTCCTCTGACCCCAGAGCCTAAATACTAGGGAGCAAGCATGCTTCCCGTCAACCGAGTGCTCATTTCCCTCGAGGACTGGCTTCTACATCCATCTCAACGATGAAGACAGGAAACAAGTACAGTAGAAGCCTCCAAACATATATGTGACCCAGCTGGAAAGAAAGAAGGATCCCCAATATTCAGGTCTATGGCTGCTCCCCACCCTTTGTCTGACATCCACATTAGTCCCTTCCTCTGCCTCCCATTCCTCAGCAAACTACTCACAGGGAAAAAATATAGAACACTATGTATGAAAGAGCTTGAACTTTGCCTTGTCTTTCAGGGTGTTAAGGAGACAGCAGGCCCAAAATGGAGTTACTTTTGCTAAGTCCCACATCAACAAACCAAGACTTTATACCTAATGTAATTGCAGTTTCAATACCCACCCCGTGCCACCCCCAGGAATGTA